ACGCAGCCCAGCCTAAGAGTTCATTTCCCAGCTTRGGTCATGTCACTTGGGAATGTGCTRTTGTATTATCCGACAAACTCGTGTACGCACACAGCTCTGCTCCTTCTTCAGCATTCACCTCTGGAGCAAGCACTAGAGCTCTGGATGCACAACGATGATSTGCCACCAGCCAGCAACTGTGACAGGAAGACCATGACCTTCCAGTGACCAGTTCAGGGCTTTCCCAGATAGCTTCATAGTGACCCTCTGGGCCCTCTTGCTGTCACTTTTTTTGCAGGGTGTCAAAAACTCTGGGAGAGGTTTCAGTGCGGGGTAGTTTGCTGGAGTAACCACAGACTGCGGTGAGAGGAAGGGCAGTGGTGTCATGCAGACGTCCCTTCACCTCCGTTGTTGCCTCCTGCAACCAGTCTTCACCAGGACAAGAGTGAAGAGGAGGAAGGAAGGAAGGAGACATCCCTGCTGAGGCCACCATAGGCTTTTCAGACCTCTWTGGCAGGTCAAGCATCAACACACACCTAAATGTCATCTGATAAGAGCATGGAAAAACAATAACAAAGAACAACTACGTTGCAGCAGGCCACATGAAATGAAGTCAGCAGCCATCCCCCACCCCTGATCTCAGGGAGTTTGTCCCACAGAGATCAGCTAAACCAGCRTCTGTTGGCTGCATGGGGCTGTCCCACTGAGTGCCCTGAAGCTCAGCACACGGCAGAAAGGTGTATGGGGACTGGGGAGACGCTAATTATAAACGCGGTTATTACTTGTAGAGCGGTGGCTGATCCCTGCCCATCTCAGCTCTTTAGTTTTACTGGTCCAGGCATGACAAGATGAAATTTCTATTGCTTTTTCACCCTAGGCTTGGCAAGCCTTCGTCTGGCCCGGGGCACATGCACAGTGGAACAGACGCTCTTTGATTTCGATGTGTCTGGACACAGACCCTGCCCGGAGGACTGGTGTGCACTCCTGCACCATCCACAGCAAGGGCCTCTTCACCACAGAGCCCCTTGTCCCATTCCCCACATCTACAGCAAGCGTCTGCTGGGCAGCTCCCAAGCACCCACAGTGCTCTCACATACACTAGYCTGGCCTCACCATACCCAGAAATAGCAGATGAGTGTCCCAGCTTCTTAAAATCAGCCTGGAAAATAAATTCTATATAGCAAAGGAGTTAGTTCTAGAGGACCTTGTGACCAAGGTAGATTTATTTAAACACTTGGCAACTATTTATTTATATATATTGCATTAGCTATTTTAAAGGATGTCATGTGGGAGGCAAACTAAAAATACCCTCTCAACTCTGTGACAGTAAAACTGGGCAAGATTAATCTCTCTGAAGTTGGGACTGTCTTCTGCAAGTGTGCAGGCCCTTTGAGCTGTGGTGGAAGAGCAGTTTGTCAGTGCACAGCAGTACCATGTAATAGACCAAGACAGAGGATGACGAGCCACAAGTCAAATCTCATTTATTAGCCTCACATAGCTTTCTATTGGACTGAAAAATAGAGTACGACATTTTCTCTTCACATCTTTAAGATATGGGGGTTTTATATGTATTACTCTTCATACGGTGTTTTATATGTGTTACTCTTCATATGTCTCTCAGTGCCATGATATAGTGGAGTACTGTTAGAAATGTTGTAATAATACTGTTAGAAATACTCTGATGACATTATAAASATTCAGTAAACTCCAATATTCACTCAGTAACCCTTCTGTCCCGGCTGCCTCTCTAAACAAGTCTTTGCTGGCAATTACACATAAGGTTTTACCCCATTGTCTTTGGAGGTGGACAAATATTTGTCTTCATTTGCCATTGCTGGAAGTTCAGGGCTGAAAAACAAGAACTTAAAGAAAATTTCCCTGCATAGATGCCGATGAGAAGGATGGTCTCTTTAATTTTACATTCTTGGATATTTTTTTACCATTTTCTGCCTTTGCAGTTTCCAGAACAAACAYGGAAAGTGTCAGAAACAGTCTGACACGGGGCTAAAAGTCCAGCTGTGTAAGGTATCTGACACCAGCTCCTGCTTTGGCTTAGCATGAGTCACTCCATCACTCTGTGATTTAATGGCCTCTCCTTTGAAATGGAAAAAGTGGCATAAAAAGTGCTGGGAACGTTTTCAAAGTGTATGGAAGCTGATAAAAGCACTGGAAGCTAATGCTGGGACCTGACAGAGGTGTTGAAGAAAGCTGGGCCCTATTTCTCTCTCCCTCCTCTCTTTCACGCAATTTCGATGTGATTCTGTGCAAGTGACTTCATGACTCATCCTCCTCTTTCTTTTGTGTAAAGGTGACGGACTCTGACCTCCTTGATAAGCACAGTTGATAGGATGTGTTGTCTGAATAAGTTTGACATCACTGCAACCCATCAGAGTCTTTGTAATGGTCTCTGTGCTGATGCAGCGTCTAACAGTGTCTAATTATTTGCTAATGAATAAGGTGCATCCACGAGTCACTCAGCAGTCCCTTTCTGTGTTGAAGCTAGTGGACCAAGGATTTGCTTCCCAGAGAACTGTTCATATGGCTAGAGCACAGATTACCTCTCAGAATTGTACAATTTGGGCTGAAGAAAGGCATCTGTATCTTTTTTTCTTTCCTTAACAGACTCAGAGGACTTGTTAATGCCCCAATATGGCTTTGGAAGTACAAGCTCATAAGCCATAACCTAACTTTCTCCTCTCTAGTTCTTTTTGCAGTCTATATTTGCTTTTGGATTTCTTCTATGAAGCTTCTTAAGCTACTTGAGTGCACAGTTCCTCATGTCTMAGGAATATCTAGCTATAGGACCACGTAGGGCAGAGCTCTCTGGTGATACAAGCGACACAGTGATGGCACAGCTGGACCAAACTGTCACAGGTCTGTGCACTGCTCCTGAGAGCACACACAGGAAGGGGCCTTGCTGTGCACAGCAGGCGCTGGTCAAGTCCAAAAAAAGATCAAGCAGCAAAAAGGTGAGCAGCACTGTGGGCTGCACTCACCATGACATGTGAGCTTCCTCGCGTGGGAAGGGGAAGTGCTGGAGGTGGTATGAGCAAGGTATGTGGGAGGAGGCACAAATGAAAGTCGATCCATCCCACTCCTTTGTGCTGTTCCAAAACATGAGAAGCCAGTGTGATGTGGAAGTTATAAACGGCCAGTCAATGAGAGCAATAAAAAGAAATATTGTGTCCCGTAGCATTTAGCTGGCCTGAGAACGTATGACCAGAATGGTCAACAAAGCCAAACTGTGCAGGTAGATATTTGAAAGACAATCTGTTTTTCTAACTATTAATAATATGTGAAGCTACGATAGCGTTAAGCTCAGCACCTGCTGCAGGGCACCAGCTAATCCATCAGGATGCCTYCTACCTCATTGCCCAGCGCAGTGTTATGAGGCAGGTTAGAGCTGAGCATGTTGTTGGTTTCCACCTATCCCACACCAGCAGCCRGACACCAGTCTTTCCTGAGCATTGGACAAGATCCAGTGTGARGGCTTACATTTACTGACGTGCCCATCTGCATCAGCTCTTGTATCTCTGCAGTCAGTTTTCTCTGTTGTCCAAAATGCTGCCCAGATTCCTGACAGGATCACGTCATGCAGAAGATGATAGCTGCCCCTTGCCAAGCCTGCATGGAGCCAGGACCTCTCCAGTATCTCTCATCTCAGTTTTCATGCACTGGAACTTGACAGGCAACTATGTGGTAGCTGGGACCAACACAAGGTGCCAAAGTGCTCTGTCCAGGAAGGCTCAGGGTTGTGGGTGGACAGTTAGAAGAGATGTCATCCCCCGGTGCAAGGACTCACCTCTGCCTAGTTAGATGTGGGTTTGGAGCTCCCTTTCTGAGCTTCCTCAGTTCTGGATGGACAGACATGGAAGACTGGTTGGGCTTATTATGGGGACAGGCAGCCAATATGACACACAAATCAGGAWTCACATTTCCCAAGAACTTATCGGGACTTTGCCCTCAATGCCCTGGAATGGATTTTAGGACTCACACCTTCCTATCCAGTGTAAGGTMAAAGTAGAAGCTTCTACTGGGGCAGTAACTGGTGTTCTTTACCATCTCCTGATCCTCTCAATTTGAGAGAGACAGCGGATGCCTCGACCACCTAGAAATTCTGGGACCGGAGGTTTCATCTCTGCCTAAATGCTGGGAGAGGGAGGTTGCTGCTGAACATGGCACTGCACGCGGCAGAGCAGAAGCAGGAACCAGGGTGGTCATTGCCCCTGGAAGCTCCTGCCCACAGCCTGCCCAGCCCTGGTCCCCCTTGCACAGCCTGTTTCAGGGTACAGCAGGGCCAGGGAGTGTCACCGGCTGCCTGAACCAGAGCCACAGTGTCTGTCACCGGCTGCCTGAACCAGAGCCACAGTGTCTGTCACTCTGTTGAAAGCAAGGGAAGTTTTCAGATCATCCATAATAGTATCAGAGGCCAACTTCTATTTCCTGGAAACTTTGCCTCTTTCTGCACCGTGAAGGCCAGGCAAGTCTGAATTTTTTTTTTTTTTTTTTTTCTCTTTTTCTCTTGTGCCGGAGCCAGGGCTGCTGTGCCGTTGCTATGTTTTGCGGTGGTTAAGCACGGCACAGTTCTCATTTCAGGCACTGACGTGAACTCTGCAAATCTGCAATGAGTTAAAATGGCCCGCAGCATTCCTGGGAGAGCAGCGCCGCTTCCCTGCTCGCCCCTCCACCCCCATCCCCGTGCTCCGAACAAAAACACACAGGAGAGGGAAAGCTCAAGAGCAGCTTCAAACTGCCAAGAGGGTCTAACTTTCCAGGGAAGACTTTGGCCAAGAGTGGGCCCACAACAGCTGGAACTCAGCTCAGCACCTCCCAAGGACAGTGAATTTTCAGCTCTTGGATTTTGTTCCGGTCTGAGCTGAGGTTATAATCAGGATATTGAAAGCACCCAAGGGTGGAGAACTGTTCCTGGAACTAGCTCAGGTAGCTCGGTTCCCAGGGTCTGGTCCAGCTTCTGACGCTGCACAAGGAAGTCACCCAAACTGTTCAGGCCTGTGTTTCCTGTTCTCCTGGTCCACAGGGCATGGCAGATGCGGGCAGATCAGCTCCTGCTCTGAGGCTTTTAGGTGCAAGAGGCACAAAACCGCCCGAGTGAAGGCAACCTGCCTCTCCAAGCAGTCGCAGGAGGTAAAAAGCAAGAAAACATCACTCAGGTGCGTTCACRTAGCAGAAGATGGGAGTCCTCCCCATGCTGCACCTCTCCTGCCTTCTCCTCTAAATGACTGCCTTGGGCCAACAAGCCTCTGTTCCACCAGGACCTGATGGGCAAAAGGTGCCATGGATCCAAACTCCCATCTCCCCGTGTCCCCACCACCAGCAGCCTCACATCCCCCCAAGCACCTTCAGAGACCGCAGCCCGTGGGCGACGGGGGCCAGGGCGTTTTTGGCAGCTGGCTCTGTACAGTCCGTGTCCGCAGAGCCGTCCCTCCCAGCCCGCTCCGCCAGCTCCCGCTTTATAAGGAGAAGCGCAAGGCCGYGGCTGGGATTGCAAAACAGCTGCGCTCTGTTTGAGACTAGTTTTCGCCAACGTTACTAGGGTACCAGGAGTGACTAATTCTCTCCGAACTTTCAGTTTCAGCCTCAAGCTCTGCATTTCAGAGAGACCTGGTGTCTGTTTTGTGAGGAAAAAAAAAGAAAAAACCTAAGCTCTGACAGCTTGACACTGCATCTATCTGGGGCAGAAATGGCCGTATACAGAGAGCAACCCAATGCGTGGTGCTAAGCAGACCTCGCAAGACCAACTCCAGAAGGCAGATATGAAAAGGAAGGAGCACATGTTGTAACTGCTACAGCAGCCAGAGGACCCTTTGCCAACAAAAGTATTAGCATTCCCTTAAGGCATGTCCTAAGGAAAAAGCAAATTCCTAAAAAAATTAAAAAATCTGCAAACAGATGTGAGAAGCACAGTGAAGTTATGCAACTTCTTCTATTTTCAGTGAGATCTCTGAATATTTCTTGGACCACATGCACCAAATAAGTAATGCCCAAGGAAGAGAAAGGTGAGGGACACAGGGACACCTCCATTTGCAGGAAACCTGGAGTCAGGCCCTGCTCCCCTCACCTGCCTTATAGGAGTCCTCCATACTCCCAAAAATCTCTGTGCTGCTCACAGCACGCAGCAGTCCCTGGAAAAGTACAGCACATGCAGGAAGCCTCTAGACAAATGCTCCGGGGAGGCGTTTGCTTCCCCATCTYGTGTGTAAAGAAATACAGATCTGGAAGCGTGCCATGGAAATGGGCTTCAAGAATAGCCCGGCTCCCCACGGGATGGGCTGGAGACGGGCTCGCGCGGCCCGGGCAAGGGGGGACGTGCCAGCCCCTCGCTCAGCTATGAGAGGAATGTCTCCAGCTCCCGCAGGAACTCGCTGTTCCTTCCGGAGCGYTCGCGTCACCGCTCCTGCCAGGACGCGGGCAGGAAGGCTCGCGCTGCCCTCCCGCTTCTCGCCCTCCTTCGCGCAGGATCCTGTTTTCTYGACCCTGCACAAACAATCCCTTGTTTCAGAGGAGCAGAAACAGCAGCTCCAGGCTGCTCTGCGCCCTGGGCTCATCATCAGCTCAGGCCTTTAGTGCYCCATTGGGCAGGAGCTCAGTGCGGGGCTGCAAAGCTGAGCCTGCAGCATCCCTGGTGCTCAGGATGGGCCAGATTTCCCTCGGGCACCAGCCACCTTCTTGGGCACCTGCTGCAGGGGCAGAGCCACAGGCCCGCAATAGCACAGGSTGCTCAGAGCAGCCCCATGGGCTGGGTGCCTCCTCGCAGCCTTTGCTCCCTGCGCAGGTCCCGTGCACCCCTTGCACCAGCAGCTCAGAAACTGGCACGTGGGCCAGGCTATCACTTTTTATAGCCCGTGAGCTGCAGGGCCTTGCCTGAACTCAGCAGCACGAGGGAGCAGCCTTTTGCAGAGCCAAGGAGAGGATAAACAGAGCGGCCACCGGGCAACGGGGCAAACAGAGAGGCACACCCACAAACCAGGATCAGCTCCTCGCGCCCTGGCAAGCAGCTCTGCAGCTGCCCACGGCTCCCTGGGCAGGCACCCCTGGAGTCTCCGCTCTGTCGTCACTGCAGAGCCATTCCTTGCTCCATTAGCTGCCTCTCCAAGACGCTTTTCTCTCACAAAGGCTGGAGCGAGGGCAGCATCTGAACAGCAGCTTGTCTGGCTGTGCTCAGGTGGGAAGGCTGCAGGGAGCACAAGGAAATGGAAGTCCCTTGGGGCTTCCATTGCGCTTTCCCCTGGCATAGGGCTTTGGCAGAGAGCTGCAGGTCAGGCCAGGCCCTGGCAGAGCTCWGCCAGCATCCAGGATTGGCAGCTTAGCAGAAAGGTAAAGGGAAACAGCCTGCAGCAACTGCTCCCAGGTAAAACAGGGATCCAACAGGCCAACCCTGCAATGCCTTGACCAGGAACAGTGATTTCCCTGTGAAAAAGAGCTCCAGTAGGAGACCTCTGACATGGTGATGCCTTATACTCACTTTTGTCAGGAAAGAGTCACAGGGAGAACGCTGAGATGAGGGAGAAAGCACCTGCTCTTCRCACAGAAGGAATTGTCCTCCAAAAGGAAAATCAGCCTGTGCAGTRTGAAGGGAAAATAGAGAAATGAGTCAGCCAAGGATGGGAGACTTGGACAAACATGACAGATTTTCAGGCTCTCCCATGCAAAAAGCCAATAGGATCCTTAGAGCACCAACAGAAGAGGTTCTGCAGCAGTCACCTAGGCTCACCTGGACCGCAGTGTCTCTTCTCTGCTTTTCTGCTTGCATGACGAACAAGGCTGGAGGATCACATGCAGAAGGTGTCCCCAGCCACAGAAACACCCAGGATCACTGCAGCAGAGGAGCAATCCCAGCCTAGCTGTGCACAGCTCAGCATGGACCACCTTGTTGGGAATGAATGGAGATGTCCCTGAGAAACAGCCATGCTGGGGCCAGACCACTTGGCTCCCATCTCATCCAGCTTCTCCTCGGTTTCTAGTTGATTCTTCAGGCATCTCATAAGATCCTCTTCATTTTCCCACATCTATCAAGARTTTAGAGAGGGGGAATTGTCTCTGCCTCACCCCTGCACCCATCTTTTACCTCTYAACATAGGTTGCCAGTTCTCTGGGRCAAGGACAGGRCTTCCAACTTGCGTTTATACATCGTGTTGCAGAACGTGTTTCAGGTCACGAATGTGGCTCCTTAGAGCCACTGTAATGCAAACAATGATAGCCATTGTTATTATTATGGACAATTAACTCTGAAAATAGAACGGCTGGGGATTTTTTTTTTCCACCTGCTGTAGTTATCTAGCTAATGGGTACCAACTATCACACTGATTTGAGGAAAACTCCATGGAGAACTCCACTAAGTGCAGAGCTTTGACCCAATAATTGCTGATGACGTTAACGGCAAAATGCGCTGACATTTAGGCAGTGGGGAGCTCTCGCAACCATCCCACCCTAAAATCACCCAATATGCTCCACTGGAAAAGGCCCAATGGACGTGTGCTCTGCCCATCAGCTGCTTCCACCAGTCACTGGCCCATGACCCAGCTAAATACATCAGATTATTTTAAGGAATAGCATCTCTGTCTTCATTTTAGAGAAAGGTAAACTGAGGTAGGAACTGACATGGTGAATGTCAAACAGCCATTTTAAGCATCTATTATTTTCAGCTCTGTCTTCTACTCTTTCCTCTAAAATACCATGCAAAAAAATTCTACAAAATTTATGTCACCATCCCTTAACCAAGGCAATGGCCTTCTAAGGAATAGGCTTTGTTTCAGCCAGCAGTTTGGCTTACATTATGCAGGACTGCATAATCAAAATAATCTCTTCTGGCCTTCAAAATTAGTTTGTATTTTTACATCTGCTACCACTGGTAACCAGAAAAAGTGGATGGGAAACATCAGCTCACGCCTAGCCTGCTCATTCYGATTGTCTCTACCTACAAACAGGCTCAGTTCTCTCTAAATGCAATTATTCACTCCTTTCTTCTGTGGTTTGAGACTAGTTAGAAGGGAAGTGTTTTTTATCCTGCCTCCAGAAGCCAATTTTTCATAGACAGCATTAAATCAGCCCAGATTGGAAATTAGGAAGCGGAAAATTTTCATGCAACCTTCAAAAAATAAATACTCCCTCAGAAGAATATCTCAAAATAAAAGCTGTCACCAGCCTTGCACAGGGCAGACCTCTGGAAATATCAAATATTTCCACTTTGGATTTATGACTTGGGAACAGATCTTCTAGGTGCACAAAGGAGAAGAGTAATGGAGCAGCATATTCCAGAGAGCAGGTCCTAGATTTGGTTAGTTAACTTCAATCAGCACCCCGACTACTGTCATAGTCATAGCATTTTTATGCCACTTGGAGTTAAGGAGTGGATTTGAAGGATATCAGCCCTTCAGACTTATCCAAGAACAAGAATGGCAAGCTCCTAGACACCTTAAAGATGTGTTGACATCCTTTTTCCTTCTCTCGCAAGCTTTGGTGCCATCCCCAGCCCGCTCACGTTCATGTCAGAACATGAACCWTTGCAAACTGGCAGTTTCACCGTGGGCGCAGCAGTTGCACCARCAAAACCCGCAGCTGCGGCGGCACGTGGGAGTGGGTCCCACTTCATATGACTTCATCTGGCTGCAAAATAGGTTACACTGAGCAACCTGGCAGACTGTCATTCACCCAGGAACAGAACCAGCCTCTCCACCACCAGTGGAKGCAACCCACCCTTCCAAACAGGAGCTGCAACATGCTGCAGGGTTTCTTGGTACCACTGCAAGGTATGTAGTAAAGAACCAACTCCTCTYCACCAGCTCTCTTTAGGAATTGCTTTAAGCCCTGGCAAACAAGAGATGCTCTGTTACCTTTGCAACCTGGTTGTTCTGGAGTGAGTGGCAGGTCCAAAACTGGGGAGGGCAACAGCAGCTCTGCATTTAGCATCCTTGGTCATCACTGGTTTAGCCTCACTAGATGTTTTGGAATCTGAAACTCCCCCAGCAGCCTATTCCAAACAAACTCAAGGCCCTCCGCTGTCCTCACATAAACCCCAGCTGTAAACCAAACCCAGGCTTTCTTAATTCCTCACCCATGAACAAATTGTTGGCAACAGGCAAGCCCCAGTAGCRGCAAGGACCAAGCTCCCCTCCAGGTGCAACTTTCAGGGCTGGTCACTCTCCCCACTGCTTATTTGTACCTCTCCCAATCACAGCCAGCTGCCTCTTTCTCCCTCACTGGCTGAGAACCCAAACCCATGTGTTTCACATGAAAAATCCCTGCRTGGCCCGGGAAAGATCAGTTTGCACCAGGAATAGAGCTCGCTATACTTGGGCTTCAGCCCAGGCCTGTTAAAAATAGCCCAGCGCGTCGCGCTGAGTGCCATGCAGGGTGCCAGCTGCAGGGACCGTCCTTCCACGCTCACTGCCATAAATGACCATGGCGATGTCCGGCGGACCCACTGGCGAGGGCGGCGGAGAGGGGCCGTGTGGCGCCGTGCCCCGGCGCGGAGCCGCTCGGCTCCCCCCGGCTCGTGTTAGCACCGGAGAAAAGGGCAGCGAGTCCAAACGCGGCGCCCTGACGTCAGCCCTCCCGGGGCTCGGAAGGGAGGCTGTAAACACAGGAACAAAAGGCAGTTATAAAAGAGCATCGTCTCCGGCGCCCATGGGCAAAGCTCTGGAGAAACGAAAGCGGAGCAGCGGAGGGTGGTGGGAGCCGGGGCGCGCTCGGCACGGAGATGTCCACCCGCTCCGTTGGGGAGGGACTCCCTGAAGGGAGCGAGTCCAGAGGAAGCCCAGCAAGGAAAGGATTTGTATCCTGGCGAAGGGTTTAGTCCCTTTCTGCTCCTCCAGGTCAGTAGGAAAGGGTGGGCGCTGTTGTCCACCCTCATGCCATCGTGGGGCACTCGAAGGTCCCACAGCTCAGAAAGAGGTGGGTGATGCAAGAGCCACCCCAAGCAAGCTTCAGCGGCTGACACGGTCACACCACCTACCCAGCTCCTACCATCACCCTGCTCTACCCACCCTAAGCACAGCGGACACTGCACTTTGTTGTAGCATATCTTGAAACGGCCTTGAACAGTTGGATTTCTCATGCCTGGTTTCCAGTGAGACTCAAGGATGCTTTCAGAAGATGTCTMCTTCTCCGAGGTCCCAGATAGGATCCAGCTACCCTCCCAGGTTGGTGAACCTGACGTGGTTCTATGAACCTTCCTAGACCGGGAATGAATCAGGCTGGGACCCACCTACACCCAGACCACTAGCCAAAAGCTTTGGTCTCCATCAATGCCAGAGCAAAGCTGAGTGACGTAGCAGGAAATTCCCCATGTCCAGACAGAGACGGAGTTTATAGCTGACCACATCATCGCCAGATTGCATGCAGGACTTCAGATTTTTGTTTTTAACAACAAATACCAAGAAAACATCCTCCTTCATAACACTTAAGCTGCCATTTCTCTGATTAATAAGTAAATAAATAAAGTAAAGCAGATGTTTACTCATTTAATGTCATTTGCTTATGCTGACGATATCCCCATTTCCTGGCTAATASTTAATGTGAATTAAGGCAGGGCACTTTACGGAAAAGCAGCAAAATTCTCACCTTTCCTTGAAACATTTTATATGTAGAGAGGCTGGCATGGTCATGCAGGACTGAAAACAATTGCGTATTATAAACAGCAGATGTAATTTTTAAAATGTTCCTCACGCAAAAACCCTGAGATACATATCTGTGCTAATCACGATTTCATTGCGGAAGACAATAAAGAAGTTACTAGTCAGGCTGTAAGCAGTGTAGAGCATCAGGAAATTCTATTAGAATTAATGAAYATCTGTGGTCTATATCTACCATAAATCAGACAAAACCAGCCATCGAAACCACGTAATGTTATATGACCCAGTTGCCAATTAAAAAAACTGTTGTGAGATTGAAAAGAAGAATATGATACTGATGTGGAAACAAATTTACCACGGATCGTGTTTGGACAAGTATTTAGGGAATACTGCTGCAGAGAAACCGCTCTTTCCAGTATGCAAAAGTYCAGAAAAAGTCATTTTTAGACATCGACGCTTACACCGTTTACAAAAAATACCTTTCCAAATGAAATTAAGTGACAACAGGAGTTAGGAGTCTAAATCACACTGTCATTGATTGTTTTAATAAGGTTTAGGCAGGTGGGAATCTACATTAACTTTGGGGAAAAAGACTTCTTTTTTTTTTTTTTTATTATTCTTATGCAGCCAGAACCCTCTTATCTGCAACCAAGTGGTTACAGACCCCGTTCAAAAGCTGTTACGTCATATCAAAGTCCCCCGGGAGTTTAATTTTAATCTGTGGTCTATATTTAGGGAACCAAAAAGGTAGTGAAATGAGCAGGACTGGAGTCATACATCACTGTTTTATGAGAAATTAAGCGTTTTCTGTGACACTGGCCCCTGCCCAGCTGATGCAGTAAGGATTTTGGAATGAGTCGACTGATGAAATTGCCGCTGCACAGGCCGGGCTCATCCAGGCTGCAGGAGGTGAGGACGGGAGAGGCAGCGGTGCTGCTAAGCCCTGGTTTTACCAGCAGATCCATCCCTGCCTCCCCATCCATGGGTACAGCCATGGGCAGATCCTCTCTCGGTCATTCCTGCTTGGAGCTCCTAGGCTCTGCACACTAGGATGGAGCGGCATGGGATGGAGAGACGTCTTCCCGCCTGGAGCAGYATCCGCATGGGGCGGTGGGTCCCTGGGGCTGCGACGGGTCCCGCGTCTCGCCCCGTCGCAGCAGCGCCCGCGAGGGGAAACCCGGGACGAGTCATCTCGGCAGCGAGCAGGAAACACACGCAAATACAACGGCTCGAGGGAGGCAGGGAGGAAACCCCCGGGCCGGGAGCGCCAGCTCAGCCGGGCGCCCCGCGGACCTCAGCCCGACCCCAGCGCCCGGCATGTGCCGTGGGCGCCGCGCCGGGGCCGCGACGGAGGCGCCTCTGCCACCCGCGCCGCTGGAAAACCCCGGCGGCAGGAACCGCCAGGACAAAATCACCCCCAGAACGGGCGCGGGTTTGTACGTAGCACTTCCAGAGCGGGAAATGGCCCTCAGACAAAATATAGTGGCAGAATAGCAAAAGAGCTGCTTGCCCTTCCCTTCCTCCTCTGTGCCCCCTGGTCCAATGGCCAGTCCAGCACCTTGGAAGCCTTTCTTGGCTTCTTCAAACCTCAGAGATTCCAGGAAGCCGGGACTCTGGGGAGTCTCACTGACCACAGAGCCTATCTAACCCAGGCATCACTGCTGGACAAGAAGACAGGGCAAGAAGCCGGGCCCCGGAGAGGTCAGGGAGAGACGGCAGCAAGGCCGCTCGTGAAGCCGCTCCGCTGTCCAGCCCCGGCGCCCTTTCTCCTCCCCTGGCGCTTGAGTGTCTGAGGGGTTGGGAAGGTGCTGGGGAAACTGCATTTAAATGCACTTTCCGAGGGACTCCTAGTGACTTTCTGTTGCCCTGGAGTTAGACAGAGAGAGAGAAAAAAAAGAA